GCGTGCGTGTGTGCGTGTGTGTGTGTGTGTGTGATACGAGGAGTGACCTTGGCTGGGCCACTCAGCCGCGGGGTAGAGATGACCCCTGCTGGCCCTCATTGTGGCCACTGGGAGGCCCCGCGGGAAGGAGGGCTGTGTCACGAGTGGCCCGAGGGGCAGCCGTCCAGGCTGGGCTGCCCTCTCTTCTGGGGGCGCGGGAATGTGATTGAAGGTCTGTGGACCCTCCGAACCCCAGCTTCTGACCACTGCGCCTGTGGCCGCAGGGTCCGTACAGACCCTTGGTGGTTGGCTTCCTGCCAGGATGTGCTCGGAGCGTCTCTGCATCTCTTTGCTGCCCTACTTTCCCCTCTGGGGGGAAGGCTTTTTTTTTTTTTTTTTTTTTTTTCTCTCCCCCCTCTCCCTTTTGGCAGGAAGAAAGAGGGAGACTTCCTGAGGATGGTGTAGCTGTCCCTGCCTGGGAGGGTCCCTGTTCTCACACTGGGGAAGGAGCGTGGTGCATGCTGACCCCTGAGGGTCGGAATGGCCGGGTCATGCCTCTCACACAGGGACCAAGGCAGCCTGGGTCCTTCCAGGTACGCGCCACCTGTCCCGTTGTCCAGCCTGGTGTGTCTCCTCCTGCAGGGCTGTCTGCAAGGTGAGCTCAGGGCAAGCTGTCTGGCCTCCGGCCAGCCAGCAGACCTGCTCTCTCCTCGGCCCTCCCCGCTTTTTATTTTTAGTTATCCCCGAAGGTATTGGGAGGGATCACAGCGAGCTTTCAGTTTTGTTGTTCTTAACTGTGTGTTTTCCTGGGAAAACCCGGATCTCCCACGGCATGGAGGCAACGGGGAGGGGGTTTCTGGTCCCAGTTGTGAGGGGTGCGTCCTCAGCACATCTCTGGATAATGGTGCTAACCCCCATTACCTCTCTCTGTCTCTCTCTCGGGGTTGTTTTAAGGATTAAATGAAATGACATACACAGAAATACTTTACAAATGGAAATGCTGTTCTTCCAAGCCAGCAAGGAGAGGAAGTGGCAGTGTTCGCCACCGACCCCATGACTTCTCTGTGACTCGTGCTGGCAGATGTATAGACCCCCAGTTGGTCCGAAACACTCCTTTGCATCCGTTCTTCACCCGATATCGTCTCTCTGTCATAGATGTACGTGAATATGTGTGTAAACTTCCATGTTTCGACAGTCTGTACGATGTATAAGCTCTGCATTTCTGTTCAGTTTTGTTTGTATCACGGAAAATGAATTGCCCTATTATGAGGCATTTCGGCTGTTTTCACTTTTTACTATTTTAAATAGTACGTTGCAAGCTTTTAAAAAATTAGGTTATAATTCACATATCATAAAATCTGTCCTTTTAAAGTGTACAATTCAGTAGTTGTTAACGTATTCACAAAGTTGTTCAACCACTATCATTCTAGAACATTTATGAGCATTTAAAAAAATATTTTTCCTTTGAAGATGGTTATGAAGTGGGGTTACTAGGCCACAAGGTAGAGACGACTTTGTAGCTCTTACTACATCTTATTAGACTGTCTTCTAGAACATCTGCAGCGGTTTTCCTGTAGCTTTGCCCGCATCAGGTGCCGCTGTCCCCCTGTCCTTGCCTTTTTGGGGCGTTTGTGGGAGTCCCTCTTTTTTT